GAGAGGGGGTCTAGAGGGGGGTCCACGGGAAGGTTTAGGGGTCTAGGGGGGGGTGTGCAGCAGGGAGGTTTAGAGAGGGGCGATCAATTGAGGGGGGTCTAGAGGGGGTGGGCGCGGGGTGTCTAGGGAGGGTGGTTCTAGAGAGGGAGGTCAACAGAGGGGGCCCGCCGGATGGGGCCTGTGGGGGCGTGGTCTGCAGCGGAGGGGTTTGCAGAGGATGGCCCGATTGATCGGTGGTGTCTGGGTCGGCCCGTGCGTTGTGCTGACGAACAAGGGCGGAAGCGCGTGGGTGAACCGCTAGGGCGAGCTGCGGCAGTGCAGCCCGGAGCAGGCGAGTCTGGCGACCAGCGACGAGTGCGCGGGGGCCGAGCTCCAATCGCGCGCTGCGATTTCCCGCGGGAGCAGCTGGGGCTGCGCGGGGAGGCAGGGCATGGCGGATATCTCCGCAGAGGGAAGGGGCATGGGGCGGCGACCGGGCGTTCCGTGGGCTTGAGGATCTAGCGCCTGGGCCTCGACGCTCGGAGCGCGCGCCGCTGCCTGAAGAGCCGGTCCGCCGCGGGCGCGGCTCAGCCAGCGGCGCCGCCGGCGCCGCCAGTGCCCCGCGATGGGGGCTGAGAAGAGGGGGGGATCTTGCTTCCCTGCAGCCGCGGGGGGAAGCTCCAGCAGATGCCGGGGCGGAGGCGCAGCTGGGGGCGCGGTGGCAGGGCGCCGAGATGCGCGAGGCCCTTGCTCTGGAGGTCAATCAGGCGCTGGAGGAGCCACTCGAACGCGGCGCGAGGTCCCGCGAAGGCCTCTTACCGCAGGAGGAGGGTATCGTGAATGGGGGGGGCTGCAGCTGCCGGCCAGGGCATTGAGGCAGTGCGTGTTTCGCCAGGAATGGAGCTGGGCACTGCGGGCTCGAGCAAGACGAATGTGTGCGAGATCGAGCCGGGCAGTCTGATGTCGAATGTAATGCCTTCATGCAGTTAAACGCGCGCGAGGGGGGATGGGGGGCCCCGCGCAGAGCGGGCTCGCGGATGGCTGCCCGGCATGGTCCTGAGAGCGCGGGCTCGGAGACGCACTTCTGCATTTCCGCGAGGGTCTGAAGGGGGGCCTCCGGGGCCTGGGTGCCGGCGGAGCGCGCTCGAGGCGGCTGTCCTAATGGTCTTCCCAGAGGGCGCGCCAGCGCAGCCGCCGATTCGTCTGGCGCGCCTTGGGTGTCAGCGGGAGGTCGCCGGGCCAGGCGTTCAGGCTCTGCCAGACGCGGGTTGTGTCGTGGTGGTGGAGGTTGGCGACGTATTCGGCGTCGGGTGCCCGCGTCGCCAGCGACAGATGGACCATTTGCGCAGCCGTCGGAGATTCGGCGATGTCAAGTGCCGATGGGGGAGAAGGAGGGGGCCATGTTCAACGGGCGGCGCTATCCTGGGATGCTGAGTTCAAATTCCACGCGTGCATGAGGAAATTCTTGGAGAAGTGGTTCTCGTCCGCGCAGGTGCCGATGGAGGGGGGGGGGCTGGAGCTGACGTGCGTGCTCTGGGGGAACGGTGTCAAGCGAGGCCAGTGCTGGGATCTCTGAACTGAATCGCGCGACAGCGTTGGGCAGACGGAAGTGCGCGATGCAGTCACGCCCCAGCGGGCGCGTAGCAGTGTGACTTACGGCGACGTCATGGAGATCGACCAGCTGGTCAAGCACATGAAGGAGACTGTGGCGCTGGGCATCGCGGCGTCGTCGATCCCGTTCGAGGAGCTGCCCGGGGGTGTCCGTGTCGCACGCGAGCCTCCACGACGGCGGCGAGGGGGTTCCCGAGAGGCTTTCGCCGTGCTGGCCACTGCTCGCGGAGTTGCTGATGGATAACAGCAGCCGACTAGCCTGTTGGCCAGGGGGGGGCTTGCCGATGAACCGAGTGGTGGACTCCACGCTGCGCGCGGAGACGTTATCGCTCAACGCGGGGGTGGCATCATTGGGGTGGATGGTGACGTCCTGTCCCGAGCTTGCGTTTTCGTGCGTTCGGCTCGACGAGTGGGGGCGGTGGTGCGAGCAGGGACGGCTACTGTCGCTGGCTGGGCGCATCGACGATGTGGGGGATGCAGAACTCCTGCGCAGGGGACACTGTGTGGTGGACGCGAAGTCCTTGTGCGACTACCTTCTGCGGGGGACTACTGGAGGACGAGAGACCGCGAGTGCTTCGCGCAGGCCCAGATCACACGGGCGACCATGAACGCGATGGGGTGCGATATTCGCTGGGTGGATCACCTAGCAATGCTGGTGGACGGCGTGACGAAGCGTAAGATGAATATGGATCGCGTGGTGGAGCTGATTAGAGGTGGGTCGATGTGCATCGTGAGTGAGGGGGAGACCATGGAAACCCACCTTTCACGGAGTGCCGATGGGCAATGGCTTCAACGCTGCGCCAGACCTGACATATCCCTTCCGTGCCACAGTGCAGTGCTGTTTTGACGTATGTGCATACGCGTGCATACATACACAAACATACACACATAAATACATACATGCACCATGCATCCATACTTACATCCATACATAGAATATTCATACATTCATACGTACATACATACGTACAACCATACTGACATACGTACACACATACGTACACACATACGTACACACTTGTGCATCTATGTGTATATGTATACGCAAGCGCGCCTAGCCTTAGATAGGCCCTGAGGATGCTCCGCATTGGTGGCTCGTTCGCTCGCTCGCTCACGCTGTGCACCAGTTTCCGCCGCGACAGCTGCATTTGCCGCTGATGTGCTGGAGAGGCTCGTCATGTTCGCGGCAGAGACTCTGAGAGTGCTGGCGCTCCCCCGGCGCGCCCTCTTCGGAGCAGCCCATGCGCCGATGCCGCCGTCGCTGCGCTTCACCGCGCCGCCTCGCGTTGCGCGTCGAATCTATGAGTGGTGGGAGTGCGGCTGCGGCGGCGGCGCGGCTGTCGGCGTCCTCGGGCGCCTGCGACACGCGACGGATGCGCAGCGGCGCGTTTTTTTTTTCTTCCTCTTCTTGTTTTTTGTTTGTTTTTTTGTGTTTTTGTTGGGGGGGGGGGGGGAACGCGGAGGCCCGACCGCTGTCAGGCCCGTGCGCCACCAGACGCCTTCGCCGCGTCGTCCGCGCAGCGCGGAGACGGCTGATCGTCAACAAGTTTTGCGTCGGACAAACCCAGCAGCGCGGCTGGGGCATGAACCGCGATCTTTTGGTAGGGTTGTCGTGCCAGGGCCAGCGTTCTGTGGGCCAGGCCAGCCATCGAGCCGCGTTTTGCTTCCGTCATCGCCCCTCTTTCCACCCTCCCCCGTTGCTCCTTCATCCCTTTCCTTTGTAGATAACTGCTCCCTGTCGCACCCTTCGACGTGTCGGTAGGACGGTCCAGGAGCTTCGCTTGAAATTACTTCACCATGTAGATCCTGACGCTTTCCATGTGGAGCAGCTTCAAGGATGGAGGGTGGGCCGTTAACAAAACGTGACTCTCGCCTTTGCGCCGCCCGCGTCTTCAATGTGCGCAGCAGTTTCTAGGCTGGAGCGCGGGCCGTTTTCAAAACGTGGCTCTTGCCTTAGCGCCGTGCGCATTCGTCTTAAACGTTCGCAGCAGCTTCCAGCATGGAGGGCGGACCGTTTTCAAAAGTGGCCCTCGCTTTAGCGCCGCGCACAGTCGCCATAAACGCTCGCACTTTCACGTTGATCCGCGGTGGTGAAGTCCCAGGAGTGGCGTTCTGGAGCGATGAGTGATTTTTATCGCAGCAGTTTCCAGGATGGAGAGCGGGCCGTTTTCATGATGTGGCTTTCGCTTGAGTGCCGTGCGCATTCGTTGTGAAAGTTTGCAGCAGTTTTCTAGGACGGACGGCGGACCGTTTTCAAAACTTGGCCCTCTCTTTAGCGCCACGCATATTCGTTATAAGAACTCGCAGGAGTTTCCAGGATGGAGAGCGGGTCGTTTTCAGAATGTGGCTTTCGCTTGAGTTCCGTGCGCGTTCGTTGTGAAAGTTCGCAGTAGTTTCTAGGACGGAGGGCGGACCGTTTTCGAAACGTGGCTCCCGCCGTAGCGCCGCGCACATTCGCCATAAACGTGCGCACTTTCACATTGATCTGCGGTGGTGAAGTCCCAGGAGTGGCGTTCTGGAGCGATGAACGATTGTCAGGAAGCAACAGTCACGTTGATACACGGCGTTGGAGTCCCGATAATGGTGTTTTGGGGCACGATGTCGGATTCTCACACGGTTCTCTTTTCATGGGACACTTCCCGCAATGACAAGACATCTGTGTAGGGACCTATGGAAAAGGAACTTAGAGGGAGGGTGTATTGCAACATCGTTGATGCGTCTTTGGGTTGCACCGGCCCTCCTCCTCCGTCTCTCTTCGTCTCTCCGCCTCTCCTCCCTCCTCCGCGTCCCTCCCTCCTCCTCTCTCCAACCCCCCATGCACCTCTTCCTCCTCCACTGCCTCCTCCCTCCTTCCATCCCTCCTTCCTGCCTCCGCCTCCTCCTCCCTCTATCCCCGAGGCCGCAGCAGACGTCTGCTCATGCAGGCCCGCTCGACAGCCTGGCCGCGCCACGCGCTTGGACCGCCGGGCGAGAGGCGCAGCAGGTTCGAGGAGGTGTGGTGCCTGTTTCGGTCAGCTGTGACCACAGTCGCACACTTGCGGCAGAAGACCCTGGACAGCTTTGCACACATCTGCACGACGGGGGGGCACGACGGGGGGGGGCACGATGGGGGGGGGCCCGATGTCGTGGGCCCGTGCTCCCTTGCCGGGCGCTAGAAGCAGCATGCAGTAGAGACCCATTCCAAGAGACGCCCTGATTGCATCCAAGGTGCCCTGGGTTTCTTGGGTTTCGATGGTTTCGCCATGGAAAGCGTGACGTTCCCACACCAAAAATCAATGGACGTCCTGGGGTCTCAGGGTTGGGTTTTTTGTGGAAGGCTTCTTGTGGTCGGCCCCTACTGTATGGCACCCGTGCAGACCGGCTGTGCATGGAGGACAAGCTTGCACTCCCAGCCTGCCGGCCTGCCGCAGGCGGGCCCGGCTGACTGCGTCGCTGGTCGCCCTGTGGGGGCAGGTGGAGCTGCTCAGCGGCCACGGGCCCAGAGGCCCTCGCCCGCCGCCGCTGCGTGGTGGTGGTGGTCGTCGTGGTGGTCGTCGTGGTGGTCGTGGTGGTGGCCGTGGAGGTGGTGGTGGTCGCCGTCGTCGTGGTGGTGGGAGCGGTGGTCGTGGTCGTCGGGAAGGGAATTTGGAGGAGGGGAGAAGTGCGAGGAGGCGGGTGATCGGGAGGACGAGGAGGAGGAGGAGGAGGGCGGAGAGGGAGGGGAGAGAACGGGGGAACACTCTGGGGGATGGGAAATGATGAGTTGGATGTTTTTGAAAGGCCCTTCGCCGCCACGTCTGGATTCGCCTCAAAGGCTCCCACGGCCAGTCCGAGTTCCCTCTTGGACTCATGGGGCTTTTTGGGAGGCTTTCTGGGCCGTCTTGGGGCCCTCACCATTTTGGCCTCGTAATGGCCTCTTGGGCATCCTGTCTGAGCCCTCTTGTCCTCGCAGGCCTCCGACGGCCTCCAGGTGCTAGCCTCCGATGGACTCTGGAGGCCTTCGAAGGTCTCCGCCGTCGCCACTGCCGCTGTCCTCGAGGACCTGCGTCGTCGTCGTTGTCGTCGTCGTCGACGTCGACGTCGTCGTCGTCGTCGTCGTTGTCGTCGTCTTCGTCGTCTTCGTCGTCGTCGTCGCCGCCGTAGTCGTCGCCCTCACCGTCACCGTCGCCGTCGTCGTCGTCGTCGTCGTCGTCGTCGTCGTCGTCGTCGTCGTCGTCGTCGTCGCTACCGTCTCTGTCATCGTCGTCGTCGCCGTCGTCGTCGGCGCTGGCGCCCCCGTCGGCGCCGCTGCTATGGGTGTCGTCGTCGACGCCGTCGCCGTCACCACCATCGGCGTTGGCGTCGGCGTCAGCGTCGGCGTCGGCCTTGCGACTGGGAGGTCCGGCGGCGAGGGACGCTGCGGTGGAGGGCTTCGCAGCGAAGCCAGACTCCAGCGGGCGCGGCGGCGGTTTCGGGTTCCTTCCGCCCCCGACGACGACGCCCGACGCCGACGCGACGATCGACCACGGTGACTCCGCGCCATTTGGGGTTTTTCTATTAATTTTTCGGCCTGCACGGGGTTGTTTCCAGGTCTTCGGGGCCGTCAGAGAAATCGTCCTAGGATGAAAAGCTGTCCAGGATGGACCCCGAGAGGGGTCTCAGGATGGCTCTCGACCAGGTTTTTGGCCAGGCGCCGAGGACGACGACGACGACGAAGGCCCCATATTGCTGTCGTCTGTCGGGCCTCCACTCGGGGGCACATCGGAGACGAGATCGTGGATAGAGACCTGAGGTTCTTGGCCGTCTTTTGTTTCTTGGGCCGTCGGAGGCCTCTGGATTCTTCCGAGGACCTCCAGGGACTCCCCAGAGCCCCCTGGCGACCCCATCTGCCCGTTCGCAGGAATGTCAGGAGAGAAAAAACACACAGACACAATTTATCGTCGATTCCGCAGAAAATATGGGCAAGTATGGGGAGTGGGGGAAGACAAGAACCCAGAAAATATGGGAAAGTATGGGAAATCCTGTTATTCGTGCTCATTTTTTTGTGTGTCCCAGGGTCCCTTCAGCATGGGGGGGGGCCTGTTCTTTCGCCGGCCGCCGCCGAAGCTTCAGGGCTCCGCGAGCCTGGCACTGCACTGCCGCCAATCTCGCTCCTGTCCCAGCGGATAGCAATGCGCCGCACTTGATTGCGACCTGGCGCGGGGTCGCCGCGCTGAGCGAGACGAGGCTGGAGGCGCATGCGGCGCGCCATCAGGTCGAGCTCTACACGGCGCCGGCCGTCGACACGTCGCACGCGACCGGGCAACCTGTCGAGGTGGACGACAACTACGATCAGGCGGAGGACACGGGGGGCCTGGAGTCCACGACGCGCGTCGCCATTGGCGCCAATGTGATGCTCCGCCGCAATCTGAACCAGCGCGACGGCTCTTGAGCCGTCTGTGGTGCCTTTCAACGGACTTTTTGGGCCGTCCTGGAGTGATCTTGGGGGCCTCTTAAGCTGTCTTGGACGATGTTGAACCCAAAAGAGTGGATATGTAACGAATGTAAGTTTTCTCCGGAGTTGCTGCGATTTTGGCGTCATGGGGCTCTCTTGGGTCCATCTTGGCGTACCTCTTGGGGCTCTCTGGGGAGGGCTTGTTGGCTTCTTGGGCCGTCTTGAGGCTATCTTGGTGTTTTTCGAGGCCTCCAGGGCGTTTTGGAGCTCGACCTGGGCAAGCGAAGGTGGAATCTTAGGCATCTTGGAGGCCACAGAGTGTGAAAATGGAAACTCCAGAGGCCCAGGGGAGTGTTGGCGAGCCCGGGTCCCCCCCGTGGGCCATCGAATCGGATTCCAGACGGGGGAAATGGGGGGAGGGGGACAGCGCGCCTTCGCACCTCCGGCAAGCGGGGGTCGGCGGGCTCTAGTTTCGAGAGGTCGCACTTCTTGGGGTTTCCAATTGTACTTCGACGGCAGGCAGTAGTGTTGTGTCTCGATTTTGTGGTGATGCTGGGTGATGATTTGCTCCAGCCATGCCAGCTCGTGATTCCATCTGTGACCGCGAGAAGACAAATTGTCTGCAGTTGCGTGCCGCTTAGGTTTCGAAGTATACCAGGATCAGTCCAGGTATGATTAGCTTGCGTGAGTCTCGATGGAGCGTAGCAGCATTTCCTTCGTGATTGCCAAGCAGTAGTTGGTAACATCAGCGGCGTATCTGCTCATTGTGTGAACGGCCCAATGTGCTTTGTCCGGTCATGCGTGCTGTTTGGGCCAGATTATGTTCTGAAGCCACGGATTCTAGAGGATGTTCATGAATGGCCGACGTCTCAAATGAAGCCTTGTGTGTGCACGATGCCACCAAGCAGTTGCACATTTTGCCATTTGGTGGCAGCGTTGCTTAATTTGCGAATTCAATGTGTATTCCTAGGCTACGCTGGGTGATGTGCAACGGTTGGGGCGCGCGTCCGCGTCAAATTGCTTGAGTGATGCTGTTCGGGCTACGTGTCTGAAGCTGCGTATTGGTCTGAGTCGGGACCTTCTCAGAAGCCACATCAGCTACAGGATCGAGGAGCCCTGCCCATGTCTGATACGCATGCACGGACTGTGGCCTAACGTATCACTGAACTACTCGTGCTTCCCAAGTCGGTGGTGATTTTGGTTAACTTGTTCCAGCTAAGCCTTGCTCGCTTTGCGTTTTTTTTTTTTTTTTTTTTTTTTTGTTTTGACATTAAAGAATCCACATTACATATATGGGTACTCACATGCATGCATCGCGTCGCAGCACTTGTCGTTTCATTTCTTGTTGGTAGCGCATCCCTTATTCTATTTTACGAGGCCGCATCCATCTGAGTATTCTCACGCGTTCAAGTTCGCATCCTGTTTTTTTTGACTCTGCTTGCGTGTTTGCTGTCTTGGCGCGAGCTCAATCTTGCGTATCTATGGTCGCGATCTGTATGGCGCCCTCCCTCCTGCCCCTTTGCTTCCGCCCTCCCCCCCCCCTTTTTTTGGTTTTTGTTTTTTGTTGTTTTTGTTTTTTGTTTTTTTCCTCTCTCTCTCTCTGTCTCTCTCCGCGTCCTCCCCTCCCTCTCTTCCTCACCCGCCCCCTTCTCCACCTCTCCTTTCCACTTCCGCCCTCCGCTCTCCTCCTGCGTCCTGCGCCCCTGCTCGCCCTCCCCCCCCCCCCGCCCTTCCCCCTCCTCGCCCAGACCCTCTTGCCGACTCGAAACGGAAGCGCGCCAGAGCCGGTTGGTCTGCAGCGTCTGCAATTCCTGGGCGCCTGAAGGCCGTTTCCGCGTCCCGGAACCGCCAGCGGAGACGACTCGGCACGAGACTCGGGGCGGCGAAGAGTCGATTACACGCAAGAGTGACCCCAGGTAAGAGTGAACTTTGGTGCGCGGCTCAAGTGGCGGCCCCTTGGGGACACCGCCAGGCCAGCAAACCGCTGATCTCGCAGCGCATTCAGAGACCGGGGGGCCCCTTTGGGCCCGCACCACATGTCACTCCGATCGCTGAGCGCGATGCGATACTGGCTGCCTGCGCGTTCGGATTTGGCCACCTTGCGCCCCGTTAGTCCGCGCACCGAAGGGCGCTCTTGCCTCGGTTAATTCTTGCGTGTAGCCGAAAGAAAGGTGTGATGTCTAGGGTCGAGGCGTTGACACAAAGATCGTTTTCGGCTCAAACGATGCTCAGATTTTCGGGCCGCTCCCTGGATCCAGGTCAGGGAACCTGTTCGCGGCCAAGACTCGCCATGGCCAGAAGAGCCCCTTCGTTCCTTATCTGGTCTTCCTTCTGGTAGCACGATGTCTCGGGGGTTCGGGAATATCATGGCGGGGGTCATGATATCAATGATATCACCCCAGATTTCATGGCGCCTGTATGGCGACCCCCCTCTTGGACGCCCCCCTCTTGGGCGCCCCCGAGAGACGCCAGTTTTCGGGATGCTGTCGAGAGCCTCGGGGGTGGGCGGCTCGAACGAGTCGAGGCGTCGGAAGTCTGGGGACTCACCCCCCTCCCGCCCGCGCAAGGCTCTCGGGGCAGCCCCTGTCGCCCGCGAGCCCGGCGCTGAGGGTCGGCTGGGTGGACCCTGGAGGCTGCCGGCGTCTATTTTGCGTCGTAGGGCGACGAGATCTATGCATATCCATTGTCCCAGCCCTGGCCCATCCTGGGACAGCGGATATGTATAGATTACCAGCCTGGAACATACCCCTATCCATATGATTGGCATCGCCTTACCTCGATGCCGATCTGAGGGATTCTCTCAGTTTCTGAGGAGGGTATCCCTAAGATTGTCGTCGCCTTTCGGCATGTCAATCTTAGGGGTGGGGATCAGCTTGAGGCTAGTTGGTACATCTCGTCGCCCTATGTTGGGGAGGCTGCGGGGGCGGCAGGAGGGGGGGGCGAGTAGCCCGGGAGCGGCTGCTGCAACGGAGGAGGGCAACGAGGAGTGCGGCGGGAGCAGGAGGAGGAGGACGGCAGGAGGAGGAGGAGGAGGAGGAGGAGGAGGAGGAGGGAGGGAGGAGGAGGAGGAGGAGGAGGAGGAGGGAGGAGGAGGAGGAGGAGGAGGAGAGGGAGGAGGTGGAGGAGGAGGAGGAGGAGGAGGAGGAGGAGGAGAGGAGGAGGAGGAGGAGGAGGAGGAGGAGGAGGAGGAGGAGGAGGAGGATCAGGAGGAGGAGAAGGAGGAGGAGGAGGAGGAGGAGGAGGAGGAGGAGGGGGCGAGGCAAGGTACGCCGTGCACTACGCTACGCTCAAGGTACGGCCTAGTTACAGACACAGCCTGGACACCCTGGAGCCCAAGAGCTCCAGGGACGGAAATCCGTGGCGCGAGCCGGTGACGTAAAAGGTTGGAACGCCAAGGTTTCCAAGAGTTCCCAGTGACGTCCAATGGTTCGGTTGTGAAGGTCAACGCTCTCAAGAGCGACTAGTGACGTAGCAAGCTCTTCACGCCACGGCTACATCGTACTAAGGGCAAGCAGTGACGTAACGAGCTTTGAACGCGAAGGCTCCTAAGAGCAAGCGGTGACGTAAAAATCTTTGAATGCCAGAGCTACCAGTACGAACGATGGCTTCATAGGATCTTAACACAAAGGCTATCAATAACGGACCGTGCCATGAGCCCTCTCGGGCACGTTCTTGCACGGAGGGGTGGGGGGAGGAGGGGGTTTCATCGAATATCGCCCCGAGGAGGCGGAAGGCCTTTCTAGATTTTTACCCGGCCCACGTGTTCTAGGCTTTTATTCCAGCCTGACGCAGTCGGCATTCTAGAATTTTACGCGACGGCGTCAGTCGTTGTTGGCGGTCGTCTCCGTCGGTCAGTCGGTGGGGCGGTGTCGTCGTCAGTCGTCAGTCGTCGTCGTCGTCGTCGTCGTCGTCGTCGGGCGTCGTCGTCTTTCGTCGTCGTCGTCGTCGTCGTCGTCGTTCGGTCGCTCGTTCGTTCCTTTTTTTTTTTTTGTTGTTTGTTTTTTGTTTGTTGTTTTTTTTTGTGTGTTAATATATATATATATATATATAGTAGTCGTTTTTCGGTTTCACTATATATATATATATATATATATATCTATAAGTTATTGAACAATGAGAAGGGTGTTATTTATTGATGTCTTTTTTCGTTTTGTGGTTGTTTTTGTTGGTGTTGTTGTTCTTGTTGTGGTTGTGGTTGTGGTTTTGGTTGTTGTTGTTGTTGTTGCTTTTGTTGTAGTAGTTGTTGTTTTTAATTTAATTTTGTAGTAGTAGTAGTAGTAGTTGTTGTTGTTGTTGTTGTTGTTGTTGTTGTTGTTATTGTTGTTGTTGTTCTTGTTGTTGTTGTTGTTGTTGTTGTTGTTGTTGTTGTTGTTGTTGTTGTTGTTGTTGCTTGTTGTTATTGTTGTCTTTGTTGTTGTTGTTGTGGTTGTTGTTGTTGTTGTTGTTGTTGTTGTTGTTGTTGTTGTGGTTGTTGTTGTGGTTGTTGTTCGTCGTCGTCGTCGTCGTCGTCGTCGTCGTCGTCGTCGTCATTGAATTCTTTGCCATTGAAGAATAATTATTGTTGCTCCTCCCTTCGGTGCACACGGTATTTTTCCAATCAAAGTGCCCCTCCTGGCGCTCGCGTTTTTTTTTTTTTTTTTTTTTTTTTTTTTTTTTTTTTTTTTTTTTTTTTTTTTTTTTTTTTTTTTTTTTTTGTTTGTTTTTTTTTTTGTTTTTTTTTTTATCAGGGAAAGTCTTCCTCCTCAAACTGTGTTGTTGCCCCCCCGGGTTACAACAACAACGGCTCCCGCATGAGACTTCTTCACGATTTAGCCAGGACCCCCGCTCTCGCCTGAGATGTCCTTGCATTTCATTTTGGAATCCCCTCTCGCTTGTGACTCCCTTACAATTTATTCAGCAGTCGCTCTCTCGGCGCTCTGGAGTCGCGCTCTCGCTGGAGACTTGCTTACAATTTACTCAAGAATAGCGCCCTAATTTACTCAAGCGCCGCGCTCCCGACACTCAGGCACCCATATTACTCAGGAATCGGGATCTCGCTGCCCTTCGTGGCTTCGTTGCAGCCCTTTGTGGCCCCCTCGCTGCCCTTCGTGGACCCGTTGCAGCCCTTCGTGGCCCCCTCGCTGCCCTTCGTGGCCCCGTTGCAGCCCTTCGTGCCCCCCTCGCTGCTCTTAGTGGCCTCGTTTCAGCCCTTCGTGGCCCCCTCGCTGCCCGTCGTGGCCCCGTTGCAGCCCTTCGTGGCCCCCTCGCGGCCCCGTTGCAGCCCTTCGTGGCCCCCTCGCTGCCCTTCGTGGCCCCGTTGCAGCCCCTCGTGGCCCCCTCGCTGCCCTTCGTGGCCCCGTTGCAGCCCCTCGTGGCCCCTTCGCTGCCCTTCGTGGCCCCGTTGCATCCCTTCGTGGCCCCCTGTCTGCCCTTCGTGGGCCCCTCGCTGCCCTTCGTGGCCCCCTCGCTGCCCTTCGTGGCCCCGTATATGCATACCCTTCGTGGCCCCCGCTCGCTCGCGCTCGTTTGCTCCATATGC